AGTGGCGGCGGGGCGAGCCAGGGATAGTGGCGGCGGGGCGAGCCAGGGATAGTGGCGGCGGGGCGAGCCAGGGATAGTGGCGGCGGGGCGAGCCAGGGATAGTGGCGGCGGGGCGAGCCAGGGATAGTGGCGGCGGGGCGAGCCAGGGATAGTGGCGGCGGGGCGAGCCAGGGATAGTGGCGGCGGGGCGAGCCAGGGATAGTGGCGGCGGGGCGAGCCAGGGATAGTGGCGGCGGGGCGGCGGGGCGAGCCAGGGATAGTGGCGGCGGGGCGAGCCAGGGATAGTGGCGGCGGGGCGAGCCACTACCGAGAGTGGGCCAGATTATTTCACCGAAATAATCTACATGCATACTGACAACAGAAGACTGGACATCAGCGAGGCCCTACACATCGAAAAGTCAAGATCAGCAATCAACAACCAGTTATAACACACACACACATTTTATATATATATATTATATATATATAATATATATATATATATATATATATATATATATATATATATATATATATATATATGCAATTGACGATCACAAAACACTGATCATTTTATGCGGAAAATCCACAGAGAAATATGAAATGAGGTGAACGTTTCGGCTTTGTTAAAGCCTTTGTCAACACCAGACTGACTAAGGAGAAGGGAGAAGGGGGGAAGATATATAGGCCGACACCTGACCACCCCATCCCAAGGGTTGGTCAGGTGTAATTAACCAAAAACAGGTACAGGGTATAGCTTAGCTTAGAATGGTCAAAGAGGATTAAGCGGTCAGAGAATAAGGATGAAAGATTAAAGAAAAGCCTCATGAACACACAATATATGAATATACAATTATAATGAGACATTGTAAGCCTCTCTATCAGAGAGGCTTACAATGTTTAAGAAACAACTCTGATAGAGAGGCTTACAATGTCTCATTATAATTGTATATTCATATATTGTGTGTTCATGAGGCTTTTCTTTAATCTTTCATCCTTATTCTCTGACCGCTTAATCCTCTTTGACCATTCTAAGCTAAGCTATACCCTGTACCTGTTTTTGGTTAATTACACCTGACCAACCCTTGGGATGGGGTGGTCAGGTGTCGGCCTATATATCTTCCCCCTTCTCCCTTCTCCTTAGTCAGTCTGGTGTTGACAAAGGCTTTAACAAAGCCGAAACGTTCACCTCATTTCATATTTCTCTGTGGATTTTCCGCATATATATATATATATATATATATAGGGAGAGAGCGATGGTGCTGTGTAATATCAGCTGTGTATCAGCAGGTGCTGTGTAATATCAGTGGGTGCTGCGTAAGCCACCCTCTTCCACAATCCTGCAGTCATAACAACAGCACTGTTAATTTAAATGAAATAAGGTATCTAGCTCATTCGAGTATGTTGAAAATATGTTTGTAAAAATTTATATGGTTTGAAAGCTTTTAAATATATTGTTTTTCCATTTAAAATATTAAACGGCATATTAAAGTTTTCGTTGTATTGCGTCCAAATGTATACGAGGGGTGGCGGCCCGCGGGGGGCGTGCGACGGCTGCCAGACCCACACTCCCTTATTACTTCACATTAAAGTAATAGACGCAATTCTCGCTTCTTGCGCTGCTCATTAAATAAAATAGAGTTAGGATAACTGCCTGATGCTCAGCACGAGCCTGACTGTGATGTAAGTTAACCAGGGTGACTGAAACGGCTTGCTCCTGTTGCATACTTGACCCTGGATAAGGTGGAGACTTTAACATGCAGCTTCCAGTCAGTCTTAAAATAATAATCTAGAACGCTCAGTGCTCAGCGCTGCCAACTCACCATCAATTGATCCGTGTCTTAAGTGTTTAGAAAAGTTTGGAGAAATATCTTTACCATCAATTGTCAGGTTCGTTCATAAATAAAACGAAACTGGGTGTCAGTTGATTCTTGAGAAACGGACCCCGGGCGATAGCAAGGAACAAAAACCAGCATCTGAGAAAGGAACAACAATGTAAAAGTACAGCCTCCAAGATAATCTGTAAAAATATAATGAAAATAACACTATAAGTGGAGAGCTGCTTAGAATAACACAGGAGACATCCATGGAAGAGGCCTCTTTACAGAGCGCGTTTTTAGCATGATTCCATTAGAGTTGTGTCCTGCAGGCATCAGATGCATTGGAAGTCACCGTGCCCCTTTCTTTATGTATTCCAGTAAATTGTTATGTAGAGCATGACTCGAACTTCAAGTTCGAGCCAACTGTATGGCTCGAACTTCACTCGAAACACCAACCAGCAGCTCTATCTTGTTGCTCCAGCACCTCGTCCCATCATCAAGAACAAGTTCAACAGTTACAAGAATAGCGTATGCTAAAGAACATGAAATATACAGCTCCATAAGCCCTGTCGTGAGGCTATGATAAGAAAACAATCACAATGTCTGTGTGATGAGGATTACTTGACTATAAATAGTACGAAGCAACAGGAAAAATTGAGGTGCAAAACAGTGGCCAACAGACATCTGTTTACAACAACAGAAGGGAAGGGAATTAAGTGATAGCACCAAGCCATTATACTATATAGCACTGGCAAGGGGTGTTGGATATTTCCAACATCGAATACAGCATTGTTGTATTCTCATTACTTATTACTAACCATACTTAATACTGTAGTAAGTAAAATTAACAACTCGTAGAATTCTCCTGTACTAATAATTCATCTGTGCCTTAGGCTAGAATTCTCACGTCACCTGACGCCAGTATTGCGTCAGATTTCTTTACAGTAAAACACATTATATTCAATTTGTGTGAGAATTAAATACGATTCTCCATAATTAAAGCATTCTGTATGACAACTGATTGCAGACGAATTGTTCTCTAACTAAAAGCCGAATAGAGCGTTAGAATCATTGCGTCTCCCTCGCGGTAGTGTTAACGTCATCAATGAATGCCATGGGGAGACATTAATTCCTCTCCCTTATATATTTACTATTCTTATATAGGTAAATAATAATATTTCGTTCCTCTAAATAATAAACCCGTCCAGTCTTTGGAGTTTCAAGCGCGAATGCGAGAAATATTAATGTTCATGCCAATAATTTGTGTAATGAACGTCGACTCGGCGTGGGTGGAGGGACGCGACGCCATCCCCAGAGTCGGTGAGGCGCTCGGGAAGAGTACACGTGGGGAACCGAAGAGAAGCAGACCTACTCTTACCGTACTCACAAAAGACGCCATTGTCCAGCAAATAGGACACGTGTGTCTATCCACAGATGAAAGCCGCCACTGTGAGGCGTGAACGACCTTGCAGATAATATCTTCAACTAGTGCTGGTGTTAAATAAGGGCCCCTAGACTTGGTTCCTGACGACACGTGATCAGCCAGCTTGAAACGCATCAATCCATAGGTTCACTGGAGCCTGAGATGCGTAATTACGGCAATCTTAATACTTACACAGTGCCCACAGTTAAGTACTTTTATTTGATGCATCATTTATAAGTGTATTAATGGCAGGGTGATTGCCCGTCACGCGGCAAGACAACACCTAATAACAGGTGATTAGAATTCTATCTGTAGATATCAATAATCTTGAATATGTATTGAGTAGTTAAATCAATTGCTACTGGTATTCATTTATCTTGCAGCTCGAGAGACGAATTCCTCATGCTGTCTTCTCCATGCTAACCGTGTCATTCGTCGGTGTATCAGACTTGGAGATTAAGAGGACTGCCAGGGTTATCTAAAGGAATCTATTACCAGCTAAGGCTTATTTCTTTTATTCATAACTTTGCAATTTGATACATTCAGAATGTACAACATAATGTGTGATTTACTGTAACTCATTATTATGCTCATATTCATGTTCTTCTTTGTATGAATAATATTATATTCAACATTAATTATAGGATTAGATTATTATTAATAGAATTAGTGAACGAACCACACTGATTCCTGGACGTACTGACCTCCAGTAATAACCCCCAATGTAGGTGTTTGAGGTTTGGTTTTAATAATACAGCCCATTAATTATTCTTATGATCATACCTTCTAGTCATATCCATAGTCACTGGTTTTCTCTAGAATTTTATCTAATGATCTGAAATTCTCAGTTTCCCTCTTTACTTTAAAAGCGGGTGGTCCTTCGTAATTTAATTTACTACTTTAATTATTAATTAATCAGAATCAAACCCAAATATCCCACAAGGGGGTCAGGGTAAGGATTTGGGATGGGACGGGAGAAGGAATGGTGCCCAATCACTTTGACGGTCGGAGATTTAACCCCGACCGGCATGAAGTGAGACCGTCGCTCTACCTTCCAGCCCAAATGATTGGGCTTACAACAACAGAGCAGAAAAAAACATCACCAGCTGCACAAGTCCACTAGCAAGAGAATGGGCCGACATATTACACCATAACAAAATCAACAGTAAAAGTAGCAAGAAATCCCAAGCGCAACTTCCCAGCTCCAATAACGGTAAGAACAGTCCCAATAACATAATAGAATTTCTGACTGTAACCTCCACAGCAGCAGCAGCAGCAGCGGCCGGGCAGGTCTTACCATCGGCCAGCAGCGACATCCGGCAGCACTTACAGGAGAGGATGCCGGCCAGGAAGTTGCTCCCTGCACTTTATTAATGTGTAATGCGGCCGCTGCCGGGACTGGGGCTAAAATGTTCTCAGCCACGAGAGCTACACTTTCCGCAACGCCGCCGCTCAAATGGGAGTCAATGGCTCGATTGAAACGCGTCTCTGATACATAAACCAGGAAGATAATGGTAGCTGGCGAGGCGCTATTGCAAGTGGAGGCCAGATGTAACGTTCTTACAAGTGCTGCAGCGTTCAGCTGGCCCTCCAAGTGGTGAACAATACAAACTTTTAAGAGGAGTGATAAAGGAGGTGTACACGCAAGTGGCAGAATATTGTACTTTACGAATGATAGTGACTATATGATCTAGCAAGTGGTAGAGGTACAGACCTTACTACGAACAGATTCTTCACCTAATGGGCTCGCTAGGAGACGTGCCAACCGGTTCACTTGCCAGTAATATAGACCTGGAAGAGAGCATTGCTGCTATGATTCGTTACTTCTAAATATTGCTTAGAAGAAATTTTGACTTTATTGCTGAAAATAAATGTTGAAATTTAAAAAGGGAAATACATAATTTTGAGCGTTTAGTACCAGAATGGGAAAGATAATTTGGACAAAACATGATTTGGCGTTGTAGAAGTGTGTTGCCGAAGGGTTAAAGTGTTGCAGAAATGGCAGTGTGTTGCAGAAGGGGCAGTGTGTTGCAGAAGGGGCAGTGTTGCAGAAGGGAAAGTGTGTTGCAGAGTGTTGCAGAAGGGGCAGAGTGTTGTAAACGTAATTGCCTACAATACCAGTAAAGAAATGGTGTTGTATCACTGAAGATCTGCTTTAGTGAGAGCTGCAGGAATGATGCAGTGTTGCATCAGTGAAGGAATGTTGCAACAGTGATGAAGGCTTGCATCATTTATGGCATGTTGCTGCGGTGAGCGAACACGAGTATCATTGGCGGACAGAAATTAAAACCTAAAACACTTCTCTTTGCACCATGAAGGGGCCCCAGCCTTAGCTACTGCACCATCATGGGCCCCCTGCCTTAGCTACTGCACAGTGATGGGGCCCCTGCCTTAGCTTCTGCCCCATGAAGGGGCCCCAGCCTTAGCTACTGCACCATCATGGGCACCCTGCCTTAGCTTCTGCACCGTGATGGGGCCCCTGCCTTAGCTTCTGCACCATGATGGGGTCCCAGCCTTAGTTTGACAGGTATGACCTTCAATACCGAACTCTGTCAGTCACGAGATAAGCAAGTATGACGGGCAGTACCGAGCACTGTCATTCATGAGGTAATGAAGTATGACGGGCAGTACCGAGCACTGTCGTTCATGAGGTAATGAAGTATGACGGGCAGCACATAACTGTGGATGATGAAGCATCATGTAATTCACTGTTTTACTTCCCAAGCACCTATAAGACTCTTGCAGCGGAAGAGGATTTTACATCTGAGCTCAGATCGGGTTTTCAGCTTGAACTCTTTACAAGGAAATAACGCACGCTTGACATGCCCTCACGCTCAGCCCAGCTTGTGGTCGCCCACCTGCTGAGACAGGTGCTCGCCCACCTGCTGACACACAAATATGCTCTCTTATTGTCACAGAAAATTGTTGCCGAGCAGCAGCGGAGTTCCGGCGTGTCGCGACACTGAGGCTGGCAGCCGGAGGGCGGACACGTAGTGCGTGTCTAATTGCTCGTGTCGACTCCCGCGGCAAGTGCTTATACTTTCTTTGTCCATCTCACTCTTCCCTGAAAAAGTTTTTTTCTGGTTTTTGGTCAAACAATCACAGTCCATAAAGGTTAAATTGATTGACATGTCTGCTGCAGCGTGTGCTTGAAGTTAAAATGTTAGTAAATAACATGGTTAGCAAGTAACTGTTAGTAAATAACATGGTTAAAAAGTAAACAATGTGCATTGTCTTATTACTAGAACAACGCGCTGAGTACTAACGGACGGGAATACCATCTGGGAGTAGAGTGCAAGCTCTGCACTTCACAACATGGAGCACTGTGGCCAGGGCATGAAGCACTGTGGCCTGGGCATGAAGCACTGTGGCCTGGGCATGAAGCACTGTGGGCTGGGCATGAAGCACTGTGGCCTGGGCATGAAGCACTGTGGCCTGGGCATGTAGTACTGTGGCTAGGGCATGAAGCACTGTGGCCTGGGCATGAAGCACTGTGGCCTGGGCATGAAGCACTGTGGCCTGGGCATGAAGCACTGTGGCCTGGGCATGAAGCACTGTGGCCTGGGCATGAAGCACTGTGGCTAGGGCATGAAGCACTGTGGCTAGGGCATGAAGCACTGTGGCTAGGGCATGAAGCACTGTGGCTAGGGCATGAAGCACTGTGGCTAGGGCATGAAGCACTGTGGCATGAAGCACTGTGGCCTGGGCATGAAGCACTGTGGCCTGGGCATGAAGCACTGTGGCCTGGGCATGAAGCACTGTGGCCTTGGCATGAAGCACTGTGGCCTGGGCATGAAGCACTGTGGCCTGGGCATGAAGCACTGTGGCCTGGGCATGAAGCACTGTGGGCTGGGCATGAAGCACTGTGGCTAGGGCATGAAGTACTGTGGCTAGGGCATGAAGTACTGTGGCTAGGGCATGAAGCACTGTGGCTAGGGCATGAAGCACTGTGGCTAGGGCATGAAGCACTGTGGCTAGGGCATGGAGTACTGTGGCTAGGGCATGGAGTACTGTGGCTAGGACATGAAGTACTGTGGCTAGGGCATGAAGTACTGTGGCTAGGGCATGAAGCACTGTGGCCTGGGCATGAAGCACTGTGGCCTGGGCATGAAGCACTGTGGCCTGGGCATGAAGCACTGTGGCCTGGGCATGAAGCACTGTGGCCTGGGCATGAAGCACTGTGGCCTGGGCATGAAGCACTGTGGCCTGGGCATGAAGCACTGTGGCCTGGGCATGAAGCACTGTGGCTGGGCATGAAGCACTGTGGCTAGGGCATGAAGTACTGTGGCTAGGGCATGAAGTACTGTGGCTAGGGCATGAAGCACTGTGGCTAGGGCATGAAGTACTGTGGCTAGGGCATGAAGCACTGTGGCTAGGGCATGAAGTACTGTGGCTAGGACATGAAGTACTGTGGCTAGGGCATGAAGCACTGTGGCTAGGGCATGAAGCACTGTGGCTAGGGCATGAAGCACTGTGGCTAGGGCATGAAGCACTGTGGCTAGGGCATGAAGCACTGTGGCTAGGGCATGAAGCACTGTGGCTAGGGCATGAAGTACTGTGGCTAGGGCATGAAGCACTGTGGCTTGGGCATGAAGCACTGTGGCTAGGGCATGAAGTACTGTGGCTAGGGCATGAAGCACTGTGGCTAGGGCATGAAGCACTGTGGCTAGGGCATGAAGCACTGTGGCTAGGGCATGAAGCACTGTGGCTAGGGCATGAAGCACTGTGGCTAGGGCATAGGCTTTTGAATCTATCCGAAATTACATTTTACCTAAACAGTGAACGCTGAGATGTTGTCTCCGACCTCGTGGAAGATCCTCGCATTGCTTGTTCTGCAGATACTCTCAAGAATGTTCTTCAGATGCTCTCAAGGATGTTCTTCAGGTGGTCTCAAGAATGTTCTTCAGATGCTCTCAAGGATGTTCTTCAGATAGTCTCAAGGATATTCTTCAGATAGTCTCAAGGATATTCTTCAGATAGTCTCAAGGATGTTCTTTAGATAGTTTCAAGGATGTCTCCCTCTTTTAAGTCAACTGAACCGTAACGTATCGGATGCAAAACATAAAATCGTCTTCAATTTCCCAAATACAATTAGGGAAAGGATTAGTAAGAATAGAGTAGGATAGGATAGTAATCCGGGAGGAGTTTATATATAACCTTGTAGAGGTTGTAATGAAGTCTCTGTGGGGGAAATATGGGGTAAACTAAAGATCAGAATTGAAGAACATAAGAAAGCATGTAGAATTACGGCTGATAATAGTACTGTAGCTAACCATAGTTGGGAAAAAGATCACAATTTTGATTTTAAGAAATGGGAAATAATCTATAAAAGTAATAATATTAGAACTAGAAGGGTAGTTGAAGGGGTTCTAATAAATACTCTGAATACTTGCGCTGGCAACAAAAGCTTTACTTCGGAGGATAGCTTTACTAGGAAAGATTCAAAGTGAATTAAAATTAGATCTCAATAAATGGATGTATGAAAGCAGTCCCACTGGCCGCGTTCCTTAGGGTATGGAGGGAGAGTTACGAGGGATACCATCAAGATGAACACCTCTATTAATAACTCCAGTTCCCAGAATAGCAGGATTACTGAAAGGTCACATGACCTTTCGTAATGTCTTCCGTAGTAAGACATTACTACAGGTATATCGGTAATAGGGGTGACATGGGAGGGCGGTCAAGAAGAATAAGAGGACTGGACCGAGGATAGCAGTCTCATTAGACGTTGAGATGTAAGTCTTTTCCTAATCACACACTCAGACCTTCACAAAGGACTCAGAAGAGTGAGAAAGACTTGGTGTAAATCTTTACATAAACTTCACAAATACACAAGTTTGGGTTTTATCGTGTTATTATGTCTGTAAGAAGACATTACCATTACTAATTTTAATTAATAATGAATATTTCCCTTAAATTGTCGGAAATATTTTAAGGAGTTACATATGAAAGATGAACGAGATAGAACAAGATTTTTTTTCCAATCTTCTCTTAGTAAGGTTGTGTCCATCTAGCTGCATAGCTGTCCATTTGACTGTCTGACTTTCCATCTGACCGCCTGTCTCTCCATCTAGCCACCTGACTGGCCATCCGGCCGTCTGTCTGTCCATCGTGCTGCCTGACTGTCTATCTGGCTACCCGACAGTCCACATGACAGTCTGACTGTCCATCTGGCTGCCTGACTGTCCATCAGTTTGCCTGTCTGTCCATCTGGCTGCCTGACTGTCCATATGGCAGCCTGGCTCTCCATCAGGCAGCCTGGCTCTACATCTGGCAGCCTGGCTCTCTCCATCAGGCAGCCTGGCTCTCTCCATCAGGCAGCCTGGCTCTCCATCAGGCAGCCTGGCTCTCCATCAGGCAGCCTGGCTCTCCATCAGGCAGCCTGGCTCTCCATCAGGCAGCCTGGCTCTCCATCAGGCAACCTGGCTCTCCATCAGGCAGCCTGGCTCTCCATCAGGCAGCCTGGCTCTACATCTGGCAGCCTGGCTCTACATCTGGCAGCTTGGCTCTACATCTGGCAGTCTGGCTCTACATCTGGCAGCCTGGCTCTACATCTGGCAGCCTGGCTCTACATCTGGCAGCCTGACTACATCTGGCAGCCTGACTACATCTGGCAGCCTGACTGTCCATTTGGCTGCCTGGCACTGCACCTGGCAGCCTGATTGTCCATCTGGTTACATCATTGGTCTCTTCATGATGTCCCAGTAGAGGTGAACTACTCTCGGCCTAACTACTTTAACCACTCTTCCTCCACACCATAACTCTCCTGTATCTCGTTAAGTCGTATCTCTGTCAATTATTACCTCAGATATGACCACAGATAACCCTACACATTCTTCCACTACGAAGTCATCATTAAGATAACTCAGCATAACACTCAACCACCATCACTCCGCTGTTTGCCCAAAGCTCTACCGTCCACTTTGAGGTCTTGACTCGGAAAATATTTTACGTTCACGTCTAAACAAAAATTATGATCCTTCAAACGCAAGATTCCGCGGAGTCAGGAAAATCCTCCACAACTCTTCCCATAATAGTCCTGGTATCCGGACTCCTATATAAATAGACAAGAAAAAAGATAAGGGAAAATAAAAGATCCATCAAAGGGGGTTAATACCGGTCGTTATCCTGTGATATGTCGTTTAATTTCGACTTCGTTTGTGTGGTGCTTGATTCATGGGGTGGCTGCAGGGGGTGTGGGGATCCCCCAGGGGCAGGGGACTAGTTATCATCTCTGGAAGACGGTTCCCATTATTCCATTAATCCCATCGTATCCGGCCCAGATGATGGTTCACAGGTCAGCTATTGCTAGCACCAGTTAAGGTTGCTGTGCGAGTTAGCTCTGGGTAATTTAGTAGTTATGGCCGCTAGATCAGCAACCCACAGCCGTAACCCAGGGACCTCTGGTCTTAGAGGACAGTCCAGGATCCAACCAGAAAGTCGATTTTGCGCAGCAAAAGAGCAGGATAGTCTACTGATACTGAGCGCGGCTTAGCTTTATCTTGCGTCCAAGTCGTGAAGCGAAAGTATCGTAATAGGGAGGCTCGTAAGCGATGGCTGATATAAGGCGCGTTTTACTGTGGCGATCTGTAGGATAAAAACCTTGTGTAGCTTTGTGGGTTGACATTGTGATGCTGCAGATCCTCAAGTGGCAGTGGTTTATCAGTTTCTGACAGAACAGATTTGAAACAAATGTA